TGGGTGGCACGGTGGCTCAGTGGTTAGCACTGCTACCTCACAGCACCAGAGACCCAGGTTCAACTCCATCATCATCTGTGTGGAGTTTGCACATTCTCCCCGTGTCTGTGTGGGTTTCCTCTGGGTGCCCCGGTTTCCTCCCACAGTCCAAAGATGTGCAGGCTAGGTGGGTTGGCCATGGGAAATGCAGGGTTACAGGGATAGGGTGGGATGCTCTCCGGAGGGTCAGTGCAGACTCGATGGGCAGAATGGCCTGCTTCTGTAGGGATTCTATGAATTCTATGACTGTGCCAGCGTTCTTACCTTGACCTGTTCTGGCGTGTAATGGTATGGCTGCCAGTCTGGGATTCGACCCATCCCACTCTCCCCATTGCCAAACCTCTCACAGAATGGCCCGTACTGCGGGTGTGAATGGCCACACCGGTGAGGATCATGGAAAGCCACGTAGAGGAAGAAGGACCTGAGGAATCAAACACACAGAGAGAGAGAGAGAGCTAAATGGGTGACTCTGGTCACCTGAGGAGGGGCGTGGCGCTGTTCACCCCTGGGGTGGGGGGGCTGCCGGTCACCCGGGTGAGGCTGGTCACCAGATACCAATTGGCACTTACCTCCCCACTCCCCACCCCAAACCCCGCCCCCGGCCCGTGGTGACCCAGAGCTGGCTGGGTTTTGGGCCTACCCCAGGCTGTACCTGTTCACTGTGCTCTGCAGGAACTCTCGCACCAACAGCTTCATCTTGGTGATGTTCCTCCCCACCTGCAGGATCGAGTGATTCTCCTCAGTCTCCGAGTAATCAAAGGGATAGACTGAATCTGGGCCAACGTGCTTCTTCCCAATTATTCCTGGAAAAATAAAACAAGCTGCAGCAACCTCGGGAAATGGCAGGGAAATAACTTTCACTGTGGATAGCTGGGAATAAATAGAGAGAAAAAATGCTGAAAGCTCAAATCTGAGGAAGCTATAGTAATGGCAGGAAATACGAAGCAAGTCAGACTGTGCCTATGAAGCGCAGCCTGGCTAAGGTTAGCAGCAAAGAGCAGAAGTGACAGAGCAGTATGTTAACGATGAGATCGGCCTCTCACGGTGCTTAAAGGTTAATTATCTCGTAGGAAGGACAGACTTCATAGGACACGGGGCAAAGCCATTTGAGACTAGGGGCAGGAGGTTTTACACTCAGTGTGACACACAGAACAGGAGCTGTGCATCTTAGAATTATGCACAAAATCCCAGAATTGTTACAGTACAGGCGGCCATTCGGCCCACCGTGCCCGCTCCAGCTCTTGATAAGCATCGTTACCGAAATATTGGGGGTCGGTCAGCTCAATTGGCTGGTTAGTGATGTAGAGTGACACCAACAATGTGTGTTCAATCCCCGCGCCAGCTGAGGTTACTGTGAAGGACCCTCCTTCTCAACGTCTTCCCCCTCGCCCAAGACATGGTGACTCTCAGGTTAAACCCCCATCCATCATATCTCTGTAAGGAGCCAGCAGCGCTATGGTCTGGTAGGACTATGGGACTTTACCTTTTATTACCAAATGACAAAATCTCCAGCCTCGTACACCATTCCTATCCAAATCATCATCAATACCCTCTTGAATGTCTTTATTGAACCTGCCTCAACCACATGCCCAGCCGTACATTCCAGATCCTAACTACTCACTTCACTCGTACTTCCTTGCATCATCTTTGTCCTTCTGTTCTTGCTCCTTTTAAGAGCTTCTCCCTATCTATTCTGTGCAGCAGATCATGATTTTGAAAAACTTCTGGGGTTCTACACTCTCCACCTCAGAGTTCACGCTTCTCTCTAGTTTTATTCCAAGAGCAGGAGCGCGTTACACACAGGATAATGCAGGGGGACAGGAGTGCGTTACACACAGGTTAGCGCAGGGGGACAGGAGTGCGTTACACACGGGTTAGCGCAGGGGGACAGGAGTGCGTTACACACTGGATAGCGCAGGGGGACA